GTGCCTTGTCAATATGCCCCCCCCCCCCAAACACACAACATCCCCATACAACAGCTGTCAATAAGCTCATTTTTTAAAATTAAATGGAGATTAGCAGTAATAACAAAAAATGGATGCCTGGAATGATGTATATATATTTTGGCATAATTTCATTGAAAAATGATATATAAATTTCTATAGAATATAAAAAATTACCCCACACTTTAGATCTATGGTTGAAAATTTCTAGAATTTCTAAAATAATGGAAATATTATTTTCTTGTTTGATTACAAGTAATGTGCACATAAGAAGGTATGGTTTTAGCTTTTTCTGAAAATTTGAATAAAAAAATTAAAATCTGGCGTGAAATATTTATTAAATTACTCTAATTAAAGGAGAGAATATGGCAACTTGTTATTTTAAGATTTTTTGAAAAAAGTTTGTTTGTAGCATTTCCTATTTTCAACAGAAAAACTCAAAATATATACAGATTTCCTGCAAACAATGTCCACAGCCTCAAAGTTAATTTTTTGACAACTTTTGTGCAAAATTCAATAACAAATCACAATTCAAGATGTTTTATTGTTTCAGTTTACTTAATGATTCACTAAACATGTAATGATGTTGTCTTTTGGCATACAAACAGGCTTCATGATATAGAAATTAGCATTGTATAAAACATGTGTAAAAAATGACCCCACAATTTTTCTATGGTTGAAAATTTAAAAAAGAATTTCTATTTTAATGCAATTTTATTTTTTTGAAAATTACATGCAAAATTAAGTAATTTAGACATAATTATTTAAAAGCTATTTATAAAAAAATGCATCATTTTCTCCACAGGGTATGTATACTTGTTTTTTCAATAATAGTAGCTAAAAAGGAAACTAAAGATTGAACCCCCCCCCCTAATTGATCCAAAACAGGATAGGGGACACCGATTTGATTTTGAGGGGAGGGGGGGGGGGGGGGGGGCTGTCAAGTTTTTTTTTAAGAATTTTGTTTTAATGTCAATGAAGGACATAATAATATTCATTTAAATAAGTCATTTAAATAAGATGAATGAAGATTTTTTATTCATTTTCCTTTTCACTGAAAAAAGTCTGACAAGCAAAAAAAAAAAAAAGAAAGAAAGAAAAGAAAAGAAAGAAACAAAAATCAGTTATTGATGGAGTCTATCAGTTGAATATTTAAATTGGTTGAGTATTTCCATTTTTATTCACCATCGGCGTTCAGCTACTTGATGAATGTTGCAGCAAACGTAAAACCAACATGTGTGTACACATATCTTTAAAGAAATGCGGAAACTTTGAAAGACGTCTTGTACAGATGTAGCATACATGTACATAATTTTTACAATATATAAAAAGCGAATACACACACACATAAAAACATGTCAAAGATTTTGTTATGCAAGTTAGTAAAACTGAGTCCAGCACAGTACGCATGTATATTTATTTAAAATTTACGATGTAAACAAACTATATCAAGTACTAAAGAGTCATCTCCCATGCTGCGTCAATGGTGCTTTTGAAATCTATATTTAAATTGACTGTACGAAGAATTCAATTCTCAATCAAAAGTGCAAGGGCAAGGCGACAATCTACAACGTAGGTTTACATAAAAACTTTAGGTAAAATAAATTAATTAAACATTTAGTGTGTCGTAATATTGCCTAACTTTGGTTGCTAATTGAATCATTCCTAAATCAAATAAACTATTACATAGATAAATAAGAATCATGCTCTTCAATGAAATAAAAAACATTCCTGTAGATATCATTTATTTATTTAACTAAGAAAAAATTGTACCTGTATGTATAGGACATGCTAAATGTTCACAGGGAAGTTATTAAGATTCAGATAGGGATTTTTCGTAGTATATAAATAAAACATCAACATTGCTGGATATACTTATAGTGTACATCTACTTGACTTTGAAACAGGAAATTATTGTTCAATTTTATAAAGTTTGTCATTTGTTTTATGCAGTTTAAGTACACATCAAATAATCTATGCACTTAGAAGAGGCTTTCTTGGAATCTGAAATTCATAAATTATTATTAATAATCTGTAATTTTTTTTTCTATGGTTTCGTAAGAGAAAATCTATGTATTAAAACAGCGAAAGGGGAACTTTTCTTAATGGAATAAAATCCTCATACAATTTGAAGATAAGACTTTTTGTTTTGTAAACCAATTTTGCTTAAATCAAAACTTTTAATACAAAGTTCAAGAAAATTCAATGAAGATATCAATGACATTTAGAAATACAAATTACCTTTAGCTGCATAATGTTATTCACTAAAAAAAACCTAAACATGTGGGTATCTCATTGTACCCTTTAAGCTAAAATGAGGAGATTTGACGGTGTTATCAATTCTTACAGATATAAGTTTTTAAAAAATATTTTTCTTCCATTTTATTTAATTTTACAATTTACTGGTGTATGCTGGGTGGAAATAAAACGCAATCAATTTTTAGCGATATTCAATTCCATGCGTTCATTGTTAAGACGAATTATACTCTCTTAATTTCTGGTGATATTGTTGTCATTGAATGTCTTATTGTGATTTTAGCCTTATGGACGGTGTGACAAGGTTTACTGTGATCTGGTTAAAAAAATGACGTAAACATAACAGTCTTTCACAGAGTTTGCCAGTGACGTCATCGATACAAGATGCAGCGTAAATGTTTTGTAGACATTTGTAATTATGCACATTTACCTCACAAACGTGTCATATTAAGATCAGACGACACGTTTTTCAAAGATATGTTTTGTATTTCCTAATATTATATCAACAATTATTCTACATTGTTTCAATATGATTAAAATGTAAATACAACAAAAATTCTGACCGATACCATTCAGAAGATTACCCATAAGGATTATATAGGAAATGTAATCCTCTGGTATCTTGTCCAAACGCCTGGTAAGGTGCCTCAATTTTTTGTGAGGAAGCTTCTTTAAGTACCTATACTTTAATGAAAAATTATTGGGAAAAATTATGTTTTTGAGGAACATGTCGTCCGACATTAAGAAAACTAGAAATATTTCCTATCAAAGATTATACTGTATTTTGTTTATCGAAGGTATTCCATTCGAATTTTATTCTTGCATAAAAGCTCTGTACAGTAAGAATTATTATCAATATATGAGAATGCCCAATTCATGGAAAAAAGCAAATATCTGACCAAAGAAGAAGAGAAACTTGTTAATTAAAAAAAAAATAACAAAGGATTTTTCAGAAGTGATTCGTATTTTTACACACGACAAGGTTATATATGTATTTCACTCGAGACATTATACATATATCACATGGCTTCCAGGATGATATACCAGAATATTTGCCCCAAGGTGATAGGTAAGGCAGAGAGTGAGTCGCCCGGGAAGTCATGTGGTTTATGTAATATATCACTTTAAAGAGGGTGACATAACTGCTTTCTTCGGGAGGATAACTGTTTCCGGTGTATGACATACCTGTTTCCCGTGTGATTCAACACTTTTCAGGGTTTATAGCGAAAATAATAACATTAATGACATAATAGGAAAACGTATCTAAAAATGTTATATATGATGTAAGAATGCATTTTAAAAACACTTTGTGATGATGTTAAAATTGAACAATAAATTACATTTTTATCAATATTTAATCTGCATCCAAAGATTAGGAAGGAAACCAGGAAAACATACATGTATGAAATATACACAGTGCTCTCTGAAAACGACAGATTTATACCATTCGATTTTATCGGAAAATAAAGTGGTCTATTTATAAAACCACTATATCAACGAATAGTTTTTACCAAACAAAACTCACGATGTATACAGAAGCTTATATTAGCGGAATCTACGCATGATTATGCTTATTACGAGCATGCTATCAGAGCCGGACAAGCTTATGAGGATGTGAATGATAAAAGCTTTCTAAATGATTACGAAACTAAACCTATTTCGATTGAGAAGAGCTCCGATAAAGAAGGCAAAAATGGTGTTCTTGGAACGTTGGCGCCAGATTATTTAACTGAATGTCCTAGTAAAAAGAACAGAAGAAAACCTTACGAAAAATGCCATAATACAGCTTTTCTATAAACGTTTAAGATTTTACAAGAATGAAGGATGTGGAGATAACGTGCAGTATTAAATATCAAAGTCAATAAAACAAAACGGAATAGGTCCAGAACATACACGGACCTCCAAATTATCAGAGGTTGGATCAGGTGCGATGGGGGAGTGAGCGTCCCCTGCCGTCCGGTCACATCAGCCGTGTGCTCCTTGTCATGAACGTAAAATAATGGACAAATCCGTCGGCAATTCAGTGTATAAATATTGGACTAACAATTAGTATGAAAAACGTCAGTCAGCATTTGACTCAATGATAAATTGTATTTGCTGACAAGGTCATTGTATCGACAATAGAAATTACGAAAAGATGACTTTAAACGAGACGGCTGATATTCTTGTTTCATCAACTCGCTTGTCAATGATTTACCTCCTTTTAGAAATTGTTCATACGTAGAACAAGCTCTTGCTTATCGAATCAATTGAGATATATACACTCCGTTTGTAGGTGATGAAGGTATTTTGCTGCATGAGTAAGGGAAGTTGACGATAGAAATATATATCATTCATTTAAATAAATTTCTTTTAATTTTCCAATGAAATTATTAAATAATTAAAAAAATCATTTTGGGAAAAAATATATTTTCAATGAAATATATATATTAAAAATCCAGTGGTTGAGATGACCTTAAGTTAAAAGAGAGAGATTGAAAAAAATGACCGATTAAAGTTAATTATTAATCAGTCCTCGAAACTCAAATAATACGTTGCCTTTCTTTGTATTGTATATTAATCATTTAATATTCCTGAGTACACACATCATAAATATTTCTCAGAAACTCATCTATTAGTTATTTTTGACGAATGGAAAATCCCTGGGATTAGGTCTTTATATATGTATAACATATATATTTTCTACGTCGATAAAAAGTTGAGATTTTATATCCCTGATTGTACATTTTCAAATCAACATACAAAAATTTAATCAAAAGAAAATGTGGAATAATGCTAAAATGGCACGGATGCTCTCTCCCTTATCACTTGGTAAGTTGAAACATATAATTTGTAAAAGACCTATTATTGTCTGTGTCTTTAATTAATGTCCTGTATTTTGAAATTGATTTAATAAATTATTTAAAGAAAAATTATAATACTAAAAACTGAAGAAAATCATATTTCCCTATTATTGTTTTGTTTGTTTGTAAATGAACATTTAAAAATCTCAAATGAATCAATATCCGTTTGACCTAACATTGGGTTTTCATTTACTAACAGTAGAAAAAGTTTTATAAACAATTTATTCATTAAGTAATGATTGTCGTTAAGTATATTTATTTATCGTTTATATCCGGTCATGAACGAAAGTTCGTCTTACTCCGGAATTCCGGAAAGCATACAGACTGTTTTATATAAATAACCTCATGTGAAGTGAAATATTTTAAATGCGACAAAGAAAGTGTAGTGCTTATGAAACTGATGTTTCTAACATCCATTTTATGGATAAAAGTTTATTTTCAGATGCAAGTCAAAGCTTGAGATCAAAGTATAAAACAATAATACTCCATGAAGGTCTTGTAAAAGAAAAAAAAAACTTGTGAAATGTGAATACTTATACTATAGCACCAATTGTTAAGCAAAAAATGCCTAAAAAAGTTCCTTTCTTGTTTTTAACTGCTTTTATATATGGTGTAAATGTATCTTGATGGTTTGTATTTCAATTTTGCATTATTTTGTTTCAATTTTATTAATTTTGTAAAAGAAATTTAGCACTTTCAGCATTGCTAATACAATCCTCTTATTAATATTGATCAAACAAAGAACGAACGATCAACTTTTAGGTTGTGTATTTTTTATTTACTAATATTTATCATTTTACCGAATATAGGAAATTTTCCCCGGAAAATCGTCCTTATGTTAGTTTTATATATAAAATATCTTTTTAAGTAGGTCAATAATTTAATGTTTTGATGGATTTTCCCCGTTGATAAAATACTAGTCAACATAATGTGTTCTTCTCGGATTATACAACATTAAAAAAATATACAGGAATCGAATATATTTGAAATGTTAAAATGATAGGATTTGCTTTGACTGCAGGTATGTTCTTAAAGAAACTCTCCTGATAGTGCTAAAGAATACAATATTTTGTATTTAACTGTAGGTGAATATTCTATTGAAAAGCAATTTCAATGATTCTCGTGTGAGTTACTTCAAATTTGATGGGTGTTTTTTCTATCCTTTTGGAAAAGACATATGTAAATTCATTTTCTTTTATTGAGCAAAAAATGATTTCTTCAACATATCAATGTACTTTCCCAGAAATATTATTTGAAAGTTTAACCCAAATCAGTATTTCTATTGAAAGAATTTTGAAGGATTTTTTTTTACTTATGTGTGCTTTGATTAAAATCATTTTCAATATCAAAATTTATTTTTTTTTTCTTGAAATAGATATTATAAATCGAAATTTGATACAAGTTTACTTTCAGTTTTTGACCTTATTGCCATGAATTCATTCCCCAGGAAGTTGGAATGGATTCAAATCACGATTTAAAAAAAACAAATAAAGCAGACACCAGATCGACTACAAAGGACATCGTAAATAATAATGAATAATGACATGAAAAAACGACTTTTCAATTGTACAAACGAGTATAAATATTTCTTCAATTACGAATGAACGATATGTACAGCTGTATCCTTCAACTTACACGGTAGAAGAGGTATTTTTTGACCTTTAAAATGACAACTATTCTTTTACATTCATTGATTTGCGTCAAACATTGACAAATTCATTTAAAAAGTTATTTAGTGGGAAATTAGGATCAGTGTCTTGACTAGGATATGATAAAGGAATATAGAAATTCATACTACATTGTACAATTTTTAAACCGAATCTTTGAATATTTCGGACATACGGATTACTGGCTTAGAGTGTATTATCACCCCGTTATGTGTTGAATTTTCTTAAATTGTTTTTTCTTAATTTCAGAAACAACCGTCATCTGTTTACTGTCATTTATGATAATACCTGCAGCCAAGTTTCCAGAATTCATTGTTGTAACCAACGCAACTCTTTTAAACTCTGGTGACACCGTTGTCATCAAATGCCTTATCGCAAACATGACCCTTATGGACGTTGTCACAGGATACACTTTGACGTGGTTAAAAGATGACGTCAGAATCACAGATTCGTTCACAGAGCTTAATGAGGATGTCAGAGACTCAAGATACAGCTTAAATATATTTGCAGAAGGGGGAAAAGGATTTGTTTCCTCGCTGCAAATCAAAAGTAAATATTTTTATCGTTTGTTTTATTTCAATATAACAAGCTATTTATAGGATTAATAGATAATGTAATGTATAAATTTGGGCTCGAATTAATTATATAATTTTGTTATTTTAATTTTTGTCTATATATAAAAATAGATCAAGACACCACTATTTGCATTAAATTTGTATAAATTGAATGTAAGGAGTTTTAAAATTGAAAACAAATATTAAAGCCATAAACATGTCATTTCCTTTTTGATATTATTAGTCAAAATTACTGGGTACTGGGTAACACATTTTAATAATTTATACAATGTTTTTATTAAGAAAAAAATTTTGTATTAGAACCGCGCTTTCGTTCAAAAATGTCAAAAATTAAGATGCGGAAACCATACCCTGATCAACCTGCTTTTGTTTGTTTGTGACCGGAATACTGGACATTTAGCATACAATCTATCTGTTAATAATTTAAAGTAGTATAAACAATTTAATTGTCTGAAGGACAAATCAGGCAGATTACTTCGCTAATGGCAAAATTAATTAAGCTTTGATAGATCATTGGCTCTTAAATGTTCTTTTTACCTTGAATTCTCCACTGACGTATTCTATGAACTAAATTAGACTTATTTCAACTGGAACATATCAGTAAGAATTTTAAAACAAAGATGTTGCCTAGCAGAGTCTTCACAATCCACTACGTTTATCAGAATGCTGACTGTCTTTTTTATACTTATTTTGAGGTGTCATTATATCAATACTTACTTGTCTACAAATTTTTCTATTTGTTCGATCATGACAACACGTACACATTATGTATAGCCAAATGAAAGGAGACACTTACTCCTGCATTGTAAATATCCCCATCTGTAATATAACGGCATGTTTGCTGTGCCACCCACCGATTAGTATTTTTAATGATATTTTTAGCTTAATTACTACTTTTTTTTCATATTTTATATTCAAGAGCGCGCTAGCATCTTCTGAGTACAATCAATTTTAAAATCGAGGGAGGCTATAGTTATAATTTAAGTTACGGTAAAATACTTTCAACAGACTCCCATTAAGTCATTTCCCGTAAATCTATGGTCATTTATAATCTTGCAAGCAAATACTTGTATGATCTAACATTGAATTGTATATTGTCTGACTTGTTCTATCTTCATTTTAAGGTCTTGGTTTTTAAACGTGGTTTGAAATCCGTACGCATACGGGTAGGGTTAACGGCAAACGTGTCCGTTCAACAGAGAATGTTTTGTCCTTCTAGACATCTAATTCCACCTCTAGAATTTCTAGAAATGCGTATTTTATGCCCTGATTACAGATTTGTATCTTTTGTAGTATCTTTAATGAAGGCTGTCGAGAGTATTCAATATAAAAATCCACAAAACAATACAATCTACAGACCAGAAATCAATCATTACTTGTTTTCTTCACCTTCCGTTTTCAGTTTTAAATTCATATTGATTTTAATCATGAGAATGTCATTATTCAGTCTGCACTTCCTTGTGGTTAACATAGATGTTTGATTTTTAGTTTGATCCAATCAGATTGTTAATATTAAGTATGTTTCTCACAGATGTTTCATTTCCAAAGTGTTTTTTCTCGGAAAGATAATCTGTAGTAAATTTTGATTCAATATAATGTCAAAAATCAGTACTTCCTGACAAATGATTAAGTTCGTTTAAGAACAGATGATACAAACAAACTTTTGTCAAAAAATTTGAACAAAACAAGTTGGATCATGTTTAAATGAGTAAAATGAAAAATTTTGCAACGCGTAATCGAATTTTTTATTATTTTTTTATGTTGAATTTGCACAAAAATGGAATTTGAAGCAAAAAATAATTTTAAAGATTAATAAAGAATTTTTTCAGTAGGGCAAACTTTTGAACATCAAAGAAGGTACAAGATTTCTTTATTTTCTAGACATTTATTATTTGCATGAAGTGCAATGAAATAAGGGCAAAAATATACCAATCCAGGCATTCATTTTTTGGTCACCTGAGTCACTCAGGAGACCTATTACTATCCGTTTTTGTCGTTCGTCGTCCGTCGTGTGTCTCTTGTGTCGTTTGTTAACATTTGAACATTTTCAGCTTCTTCTCTGAAACCACTGAACAAATTTCAACCAAATTTTGTGTACAATATCTATGTGTGAAGAGAAACAAAAGTTGTGAATTTCATGGTCCCTGCCCTCCTGGGGCCTGAGAGGTATGACCAAAACCACTAAAATTTATGAAACTTTTAAAAATCGTCTTTTTTCATTCCTGACATCAAGCAGGCAAACTGTTAGCATGATTGTAATGAGCATTGAGTCCTCTACCAAAATTGTGAAATTCAGGGTCAGGAATTTTAGTGCTAGGGCGGGGCTATATAGATTATATAGTGAAAATGCAATATTTCTTTGAAAATCTTCTTCTCTTCTTCTCGATATTAAATAAACTAACTAAGTACATAGTTATGATGAGCAAGAGTGCCTCTTCCAAAATTGTGAATTTTATGGCCACAGGGTCAGGGGTTCTGGTGTTAGGGCGGGGCTCTATTTATTATATAGTGAGAATGCATTAATTCTTCAGAAATCTTCTCCTCTGCTCCTGGGTATTAAATTAACTAAGTACATAGTTATGATGAGCAAGACAAAGGTGCCCCCCTCCAAAAAAAAAATCAAACCAAATCTGATATATTTTCCAGATACATGCGTTTTTGCATGACGAAAATGTTATCAAAATTTGTTCAGAACTTGTTTACTGAAATTTTATTAAAAATACTTCTTTTGAGCTTTTGAGTATATTAAATTGTTTGAAACACGTTAAAAAATCTCAGGAAAATGTTATCTTTTTTGTGATTTTCATTTACAGGTTTGACAGAAGAAGATGAAGGATTATTTACCTGTGAACTTCAGAATAAAACGTCCGCAAAACAGCAAAAATCAGTGTCAATAAGCGGTAAAATAGATAAGAACAACCTAGTTAAAACATATAGAGTACAATTCACAATCTTACATGTATCTAAACTCTTAAAATGACTTTTGTTACAGAGATGTGATTTTCATATCATGTTCTTTAACGTTTATAATATGGTAAATACAAATTTACAACATTACGGTTTAGTTGACATATAATTTTTTGGGGGTGAATGTAAATGCCTTATGTAATATATTTTCATAATTGAATATTTTGAGAAAATTTATGCAAGTTTATAATCAAAGTTTAAGGCAAACTCTAAACGTATAATAACGTGACTTTTTTGACTAATTGAATGCTATAAAATTGATATGTGTCTAGGTTTTAAATTTATCTACTTATAGTTTTAGTTGAAGGCACAGGTGTGACAGTTAAGACAACAGTATTGGATAACACATCAACCAAATCTCAGAGGGACTTTAATGAAAACAGTTCTGATGAAACAATGCAACAATACGAGAACACAACACCGTATGGAAGTCTTTTAAATATTAGTTTCTTTTAATTTTTTTATTCAAACTTTTGAATTTTTGCATGATGAATTCTTTTGGTTTTAATTTCATATGTAGTTTTAAGTTAGATGTGACAATACTTGTGGAAGTAAAATATTAGGTTGTATTCTTTCAATGGATTTAAGAACAGTTTATTCATTGAATAAGAAATTTTTGCCAGAAAAAAAACCCCGCATACACTATTCAGTTAATTGAATTGTCACAGAGTGGTCTAGAAAAGTCCCTGAAGGGCAGAGAACTGCCGTTCAGTAACATCTAAGTAGACTATCAGTCAATCGTCACTAAATGGTATACATTCATCCAACGATTTTTTAGCTGCAGAACTGTAGCTCTCCGAAAACATATGACAGACCGGAGAGCTACAGTGCCACCCATTTTAAAAACTGTATATTTATTGCGCACAGAAAGTTGCGCTTAGTTCTGGATTAATTCTTTCATATTCTTACCTAAATGGCAAAAAAGATAGATTTCCAAAAATTCCCATCTCCTCTATAAAGTACTATCGTTCTTGACAACTGCACGAAGAATGTTGGACCGAATTATCTTGCAATCCAAAATGGCAGTACATATAGACGAAATTTTCGATGATCTCAATTTCAGGGCCAGGAGCTCTATTGACAACAATTATAAGGAATGTTTTCTTGTAAGAACAGTGAAAGAATACGTTAGGAATACACGGTTAGAAAAAATTTTGAGATGACAGGTGTTTAAGAAAGGTGAAATAAATCAAGAAACAGCGCACTTTTTGTGCGCAAAAAATATACAGTTTTTTCAATGGGTGGCACTGTAGCTCTCTTGTCTGTCAAAAAAAAAAAAAAAAATCGGAGAGCTACAGTTCTGCAGCTAACGATTTTTATGTTTAAGAAACATATTTCAAATAAAAAGAAACACCATTAAAATTACAATTTTACAAAGTCAACATTGTAGAAAAATTGCCAAAAATCGTGTAAATGCCCCTCAAATTATATCTTTTTTTCCCTTCTGATCCTTAAAGCATATTCAAATATATAAATAAATATCCCATCAAAATGAAATTCTTACTAATAGCCTACTGTAAACAAACTAGCATTCGTGATAATTATTTTTTGCGATTCGACTGTTTGGAATACATTTGCAACTATTGATTTTCGCGATTTAGGCAACATTCTTTACTGATACATAAGTTAACATTTGATTCACGACTAGTAGTACTAGCATGTAAAAGGAAGTCCCGAAACTCGCAGATATTTTACGCTCGAGAATAAATATTTGTTTATAAAAATAAGTTTGTAACAAATATTCTGGGAGAATTTTGACGTTGTATTTTAGTCCTTCGAGTAACTTTGCTGTTTAATTATTACAAAATATATAAACGCATATTTTTTTTCTTGTTCAGGTCGGATCTAAATTATGAGGAAACAAACACTTCTACTACACCCATCCAGATTATTGATAGAAATACAACCGACACGAGCATGTATATGCAAAACATCACAGAAAGCGACTTAGAAACGGGAAATGATTCCATATCTATCACGAACAACACAAGCAGGGACAACAATCTAACTACACAGACTAATGTTGTCTCTTTTGTGGAGGGCACGACTGCATCACTTGAAGGTTATTATCTAGTATATATAGAGCAAAGATACATGTAGTCTGTTTTTATTCACCTATGCATGATACATTATTAATGAATGGCTTTATTTCAAATGTACAATGTACTCAAAGTCAATAAGAGTAATGAGTATATATATTTGTACGTTGGATATTTTGTCGGAGAACAAGGGGTGAGATACTGTTCTGTGCTAATAAATATTCATATTTTTCTAAATTGATGCTGTCAAAATAAAAAAGCACAAAATAGTCTAATCTTACAAAAAATAAAAACCTAAAGTTAAACCCCATTGAAAGGACAAAAAATAAGCTTAACATTTTTCAATTTTTAAGAAGTAGTCAGCATTAAAAAACTATTAAAATATATATAAAGCATTCCTTAGGCAGATATTTTAAAAATATTCAGTTCCGCAAAATATATTGTGAAATGAAAATTTAACATTATTTTATCATACATCACTTTTAATACATAAAACAACCATTACTTACTGATGATTACAAGATGTAAAATGGGAGACAACGAACCGTTTTCGATCTAATCTAGAGATACTGTGAGCACTGATCTCTTCAACTAATACCCATTCTCCAATCTTTTGCTTTGGAAGATCAGCCATAAGTGTGAGATCAAAATGCATGTTAGATAATGCACAATGACAATATGCTATAAAGAATATGTGAATGTATCATTAAATTTGATTTAACGGTATAGTTGGAGTTGCAGATAAGAGATGGCTAGCCTTCAATAATATAGAAAGGATGGCCGTGTTTATGTTTGTTAAGTTAAAATTCGAGTTACTTGTCCGATCAGAAAGTAGAAATAGGAGCTACACAATGGCACTATGTAGCAAAGATTATGTGAAAATATCATTTAATTTCATTCAGTGGTATGAGAGGAGTTGTGAATAGAAGATGGGTACCCCAAAGTGTAACAAACTAACGTACAGACATTCAGACAGACGGACGGACATCCCGATCATTTTATCCTGCAACTACCCCTTGCATTGACCTAATAAAAGTAACCTAATAAACCAAAGCTTTATCCGGTCACTGCCCTAATAAAGCCTCGTGCATGTGTTCCGACGTTCTAAAAGCATTGTGACGTCATGTATATTGCAATGTTTACGCCATGGCGTCATAGTTTCAACTGCAGAGATGTGCCTAAATCTGTCGAAAATAACTTGTTTTGGACGTTCAAATGTAAAATTTTGTTGCAGGATAAACAAAAAACATGATACATGTAACTGTCTTGCAGTATAAGCGATATTTGGGCTCGGGTCGAAAACGTACGAGGTCTCGGCAAGCCTCGCCCTCTTTCAGGTTTCTTACCCTCGCCCAAATATCGCTTATATTTCAAGACAGTAACCATGTTTTTTATATATACCCTCCCACTTTTCAAGCGTGGGTAAAAGAATTCCGACAGAATACCTTTTTGTCAACAGGACATAAACAAGGACCTTCTGACACTGCAGACATGGCATAAGGTGCCTAGGGGGTGCAAGCATCCCCTTTTGTTCGTGACACTTGCCCTTACATTTTGGCCTATGTGTTTATCAGCTATATGGCACTTCCCGTCGTCAAACTCATTTTTAGAACGAGAATCCAACAATTTGTATAAAACGTGATTAGCCAGATGTTACGATTATATAATTGTGCTTTGTTGAGGTCAATCAAGGTTGCTAGGATTCCTGCAAATCAACTTATCTATCAGCATCCTTTAAAGATTGATATCTTTCGAACATTCCCACATAAATAAGAAAAGACAGATCGTGCTCTGTAATGCAAAGTTAAGTATTAATGTGTCAATTATCCATGTAAATCAGGTTCAGTCAACTCAATCTTTTACTGGTGTACCCCATTTTTCTTTCTTCCTGTCTTTCTCTCTCTCTCTCTCTCTATCTCTTTCCAGGTCGGATTTGTAACAATTAAACTTTTTACTTTTTTGCAATCATTTTCCAAAACAGATGAATAAATTTTGCTTACTGCTCTGTCGATGAAATAAATGAGAAAATAAAATTCCGATTTCTTTCAACAAACTTTTTGGTTGGCTTTAAACATATTTTTTCTGCAGTTGAAATTTATACAGAAGAAGAAAACAATGCTGATATGATTGCTGGAGTAACGGTGTTCATTATTCTTTTGCTTGTGATCACCATTACAGTGGTATTTATCATAAAACGACGGGGTGGCATAAATTGGGAAATGTGAGTAGTGAAATACCTTTTAAATCTTCATCCAGTATGTACAAAGAATGAACTCTCGTAGAAATCCTCGCTGTTTTTATTTTAGAAAACAATTAGTCTTAAAACAATAAACATTTTAGGATATTTTGCACGAAAATCTTTACCAAATGTCATTTAAGCCCTTAAAACGGAGAAGGGGGAAGGTCCTGAGCCCACTAGCAAATAGAAATTTTTTTAGTTAAGCCATCTCTAGATTTTTTATTGCTGTAAGGTCGAGCACTGGCAAATAGAAGCGTTACATATAAAAAGATATTTTTTCCCTAGTCAGATAACGTCAAAGGCACTTTTGTTTAGTTTTTTTTTTCCAATTTGTGAAGTCTTTAAACTTTTTTTTTTGAAATTTGATCTATACATATAAATAGTTTCGATTTTGTGTAAATGAAGGATACGGAGATGACGAACAGTTTTCAATATCAAACTCCATAAAACAATACAAAATAGGAGAAAAGCAAACACGGACCTCCAAAACATCAGATGTGGAATCAGGTGCCATGGAGGAGGGAGTGTTCCCATGCCAACCTGTTACACCCGCTATGTGCTCCTTGTAATGATCGGGAAATAACAGGAAAATCCTTCGTCAATTCAGTATATTACCTGAATATATTAGACATATTTTGCCTAGCTGAGAGTACCTTTTGAATATTGAAAAACATATTGACAAAACATTCTCTTGGTAACACTCGTATAAATAGTCCAATAAACATTGAAATTACAATATTACAAAAAAGATTGTTATAATCCTTTATGTTACATAAATTAAGTTTAATTTTTAATTAATATATATTTTCTTAAATATCATTAAGTTTTACATTTTTTTCAAGCTGTTTCCATAAAGCTAAAGGAAAGGACTATGAAAAGCCACATCATGAACTCATTAACATAGACTATGAAAATACAGAAAACATGAAACAAGCAGTGGTCAATCATAATTATGTAAATACGGAAAAGGCCATTAGGGCAAGAAGATGTTATGAATATGCAAACAACAAAGAATTTCTACGGGATTACGACATAATGGACAGTCTGCGACGAACAAGTTTAAATGAAGAAGGTGCGAGTTTTGTACCCATGACAGCGCCATTAGGTGAATCAACAGAGGTCGATTTTCTACCTGGTCATCATGATTCACCAAATAGAATGGAGCAAAAAGAAGAAGAAAAGTCCCTACGAAAAGTGTCATGATATAACTTTTCTAAACAAGTACAACGTATAAATAGTTAAATGCGTTCTTTCATGTTTTTGAATTGGAATCAACGTTCCAACTTTATCAGAAAAAATAAATTTTTTGGTCTGCAATAATATCAGCTTTAGCTTGGATAATTTAAAAATAACAAACAAAGAAAACATTTTATTATTCGTATTACTTCTGTACAGAAATGTTTTTGTAAAAAAAGCATTTTAGACGATATTGCATTGATGATAATGTCATTGTATGTTTTCACTGATTTAACATTTTTTTTACTTTATAAGTCAGTCTGTATGTGTGAAATGCTAAGCTGTGTTTGACAACTGATAAAAAAAGTCCATTTTTTAAAGAAATTAAAAAAAATTGATCTGTACTTATACAAGACATGTAATTTTCAGTAAAAGTAATTAATATAAAAAAATCTGATAGTATTACATAACTTCTATTGTTTTATTCCGTAATGAAAAGTCTCTGTATTCGTTATATAAGTAAACAATCAACATAATGATAAAAGCTTCACCGAAAAGAAATTTTGACTGTCATTCAATTTTCATCTCTGTTTGAGACACAGAGTTTTCATTTTTATGGATTTGGGATGTGATTAAACGATTGACTTACTAAGACGTAATATTTCTGTTACAATGTCAAAAGTTAAGAACAATAAATAGATAATTTGAGTTGTTTTGGCGCATTGAGGAATACTTCAATTCACGTTTTTATAAATATTTGGGTATAAGAAAAAAGGTATCTGATTTATATATATAAAAATATGTTCTGATACATAATTTCTATTATCATATTCAGTAAAAATAGTCTCTGTATTCGTTATATAAATAAAACAATTAACATAATGATACAAGCTTCACCGACAAAATATTGATTGTCATTCAATTTTCATCTCTGTTCGAAACACAGAGTTTTCATTTTTATGGATTTGGGATCTGATTAAACGATTGACTTATTAGGACGTAATATTTCCGTAACAATTTTAAAAGATAAAAACAATAAGTAAATAATTTGAGCTGTTTTGGTGCATTAGGAATATTTCAATTTACGTTTTTATTAATATTTCGGTATAAGAAATAAGGTATCTGATATATATACAATGTATAAATTTTATATGTTCTTATTTCGTCTTTTTTTGTTGTTAGTACCTTTTTACGACGCTATTTTTTTTTTCGATTTTGTCAACTCATACCACATTTTGTAATTGAATAAATCATATTATTATACTTCTTTTTATTATTATACACAAAGCATTATCTGATTGATTTTACATTAACATGGTTTTTTGCAATCAAACTGCTGAGAGTAGTATTCCTCACTATAGCCTGGTTTATGCGAAAGAAGCGTTTTTCAAAATATACATGTAATCATAAAAAAAATTCCTTTAAAATTCAAACCCAAGGTTAAATGTATACAAAGAAATAAATTAAATTTACTTAGCAACGAAAAAGGAGAATCATTATGCAGTTATGCACCGTTGTTTCGTTTGAAATATTAAAAGTAAAAAAAAAAACATTTCGAGTTATATGTTTTATTTAAAAAAAGTTAAATATTCGATATGATAATGAATATGACACCGTTATCCTTATAAATGGTTAAAAATGTTGACAAAACCACCCACATAATATAGCATAGGATACAATAATCATTGAGTAATCAATGTATCATTACCCAACTTATTAAAAAAATACAAATTTCCTGTAGTTAAATAAACTAATCGAGCACCATAATACATGATACATATCAAAATCATAAGCTTATCTATATTAAGACGACAATTATTTCCATTATAAAACTTTCGAAGTCAACAGTTTCTTGTAAACTTCCACTCAATGTTAAGTCCTATTAATATATAACATTAGATAATGTAACTATTGCACATTTATTCGAAAGGTTATTATAAGAAAAATAATTCTACAGTAAAAAGACATTGATGGATATGCGGAACAAGATTGAACGCTAGAAAAATTCCATCGTGAATATTTCAAAGAGAAGAAAGTACGTTCTCTGATGAAGTGCAACCCCAAACAAGACTTCGTGCCCTTTTCCCAAGGTCAAGATCTAGTTAATGAGTCTTTTTAATGCTAGATCCTTTATGACTTTAGCATTGATTTAAGCTTATTTTTTGGTACTTTACATCCGTGTAGAAACTTTGTAGGAATGATGCATTTTCATTATATTCAAATATAAATCATATATAGAAAAAATAGAAAACCGTTTTCCGAGAAACTGCAATATATTGCTATATTTTTATTGACTGAGATTGAAAACAAAGACATTAAAATTTATATCTGACTTTGTTTTTCATTGAAAATTACTGTTTAAAACATATTTTCCAGTAATAATATATCCAAACATAATGTCCGGAAACACTTTATTTTACCAAGTCATATTTGCAAAGTGTTATTGAAAAAAAAAACTGTTTTCTCCTATTTGATAAATCACTAGGCATCTATTATGTACTATATCTTGACCTTTTGTAGTTTAAATGTAAATATTATTTTTGTAGTTTTAATGTTAATATTAATTTTCATTTTAAAGGCTGAAGTTGTCAATTGCTAGAGCAACATAAAACAAAAATATACGTTATTTAATACATAAACTTAAGATGCAAATGGGTCCTGTTAATTTGGCAAACTGTGCAGCAAAACATTCAATCTTTTCAGTTTGCGTAAAGATCTTCTTGTCTTTCGGTTTTCTCCACTATGATCTCTTTTGTTGAAAATCTGAAACGAACAGAAGTTTGTAACACTCCTCAAATTGTTCCTAAATAGGTGGATTAAATTCATTTTAACAAATGTCAAATGATGTTGTTCAACTCCCTTTTGTTGGTGTACAACAAAAATTCAAAGGAAGATATATATTTATTTAAAACTTCTGATTTTGATATTTTATAATTTTTTTTTTAACCTAGCTTTTTTTATACTTTATCTCTTCGAACATATGATTTTTGTTTATATGTTATATTATTTGACGTATGCAGGTTCACTATACTTTCCAAAAAGTCTAAATTAAAAAAAGGTTCTCTTTCTTAGGGTAGAATGTTTCGTAATATCTTGTAATAAATAAAAGATAAATTATTCATATCAAAGTATACATTAAATGATTTGCTCAATGTCTTTAAGAACCTGTGTTAGAAATAGAAATTAACGATTTATTTTACTTACATAACTAAGGATAGCAGAAAGCTGGTTCGCCTGCAGATATCTGGCCATGAAACACATGTCTGTCTCCCCTTCATACATCAGTTGATGCAGGGAATTTAACACGATTGCTGCCATCAGAACCTCGGTGTTGTTATCTCTAGAAAGAAACGATATGCATGATATATTCTAACACTCAAATGACAACGCTTACAGTATTAAGACAAGTAGTAAATAGCAGGTGTGATCGGGAGACAGGGTATGTTACTCCTTTATTATGGTACCTGGGCCAACTTTGTTGTTTCAAAGGTTCTGTATTTGCTTTGTTCCTGATTAGTATTGATTAAAAGGGACTTTTTAATTAGGGTAGCATTGATTATCTTCTTTCATTTTCTCATTGAAATTTCTTTCACTGCTATGCTTAACTGTCTCCAAATGCTTTATTCACTTTGCATTGCTTCGGAGACACTATGGACAATGTTTGTCATTGCAAAAGAATGAATCTGAATCTGATTATTGAAAAAAAATAATAAGCAAGTACCCCATATTTAGGCCTTTGCCAATGAACTCGGAGAAAATACAACTGTTTGATATTCTGTTAAAATATATTCTTAATTAATAAAATACGTCTTCACAGAGCAGATACATTGAAGATATTTTCTACGTCGCACCTACGTTGCATTTTAAAAATGCACTTTCATATGAAAACCATATAATTTATGTCCTAGTAAATGTAACATTTTACTGCACAATGTTAAAAATATAAGTTAAAAAACTGAAACGAACTTGTGCATTATGATAATCGGCTTTTCTCTTTCCAGTGTCATGCTTGTTACGGCATCAATGATGTCAGAAAGCTGTGTGGTGTTGGAATACACGGAATCGTCTGAAGGCATAGCCTGTACAGTTCTGACATCAATTTCTTCATCATCCCCATGCTTCGAGATAAAATAAAAAAATCCAAACTTAATGAACAATTAAGCATAGCATGCTAATAAATCATAATCGTTTCCACAACTATCAGCCTTCGCTCTGGTAATTGTAAGTACGAAAGTAAATGATATGTATCTGCAGAGTAGAGAGATCTACAGGTGTGAGCTTTGTAATTTGTTTAATTCGGTACTGCTTTATTATCTCCACCTGAATAGTAATCCTTGTTGTAGATATTCTTCTACATAGGCTGACCACTCTACTCTTCGTCTTCTTTACAACATATCTACCGATGACCAAATCATGGTCCTCTGGAATCCACTGCTTTGTCTGAAGAATTAAACAATAGAAATATTAAACATTTGAAATTCATTGCTGTTTATTGTGTACACAAAAATATGTAGCAACTGCATAACATAAATCAAAATAATGTTTTGTATGGTTTGTAAATTAAAATTGGTATTTTGATTTATTCTCCATGGAACTCTATTTTCCATTCTATTGGCATTTTATTGAAGAATTAAAAGAATAAAGGTATATATTATGTTAAATGAAATTGTAGATCATTTTTGTGTACATACTGTGAGCTGCTCATCAAGAGAATCTAAGGTCATAATAACAGATGGTGAACAATCCATTATTATCGCCATTAACTCTGAGACCTCTTTCGCCTTTGGATAGCGACACACCATTATTCCATCTTCCAGCCACATAGACTAAAAACAAAAGATAAAGAATCTAACAAGACCACTCAGAAAATCCAATACATTCATTAAAAAAAGTCATTAGGAAAAAAAAATAATGCTGTTTGACTTTTTATTGCTTATTGTTAATCCATTATTAATAAATTGGGATGTCATAAAATTTAATATAGGTACTGTGAGCAATGAGCTCGCTAAATGACAATCCCCCAGATTTTGCATAAGGTTATAACAGCAAGGTCCATGTTTCCCTCTGGTGACCAAAAATGAGGGTCTGATCAAAGCGTAGAAGGAGAGGTTTATAATGGCATTAACATAAAGACTCTGTGAAATTACAATTAATTTTTATTCACTGGTATAGGAGGATATGTGGATAAAACATGGATACCCTTCAATTTAAAAGAAACAATTCCAGTGTCAATGTTTTGCTATGGGAAACTCGAAATATAACTTCTATCAAAAAGTAAAATAGGATATGCACAATGGCACAGTGTAACAAAGATTTTGTGAAAGTCTCATTAAATTTCATTCAGTTGTATAGGAAGAGTTGTGGAGAGGGATGTGTACCCCAAAGCGTAACAAATAGATTCCACCTTCCACCTCTAATGCCCTAGTTTTCTGCTTAAACTTTGTATTGTCTAATGGATATTACAGCTACTTGAATACTTCTAGTTATCCTTCATAAATAAATATCTGAATGACAAATCTCTGGAATACAGTCACTTTTCAAACGTCTTTTATTTAATTGAAGAGCATATTTAATTCTGTACCAGAAAATGATGATAACGAACAGTATTTAAACTCATAAGTCTATTTAACAAAACAAATTTTGAGCAGAGCAAACTAAAATATCAGAGGTGGGATCAGCTGCCATAGAGGATTGAACATCCACTGGCGACCGATGAAGGTTAAGCTTTTGGTACTTACAGGATATTCTCCTACAACCAATGGTTGGTTAGTCTTTGTCTCTGCTTCTGCAAAATCAAATAATACTAACAAAGTTAAAACAATAGTGAATCGGCCATCCTGTGAAAATTATTGTAGATCAATGGTTCTCAAAATCGTATCGTGATAGGTATATATGTTATTCTGTGAACAGTTTTGTAGAGGTTGTGAAAACTGAACCTAAATATGTAAGATCTTACCCTCTACAGCGGTCATAGCTTCATACTGCCTTTGTTGTCTGATGTAATTGGCGAACTCCTGATAGAGTACAAAATGAAATATAGCATTTAAAGATCTGGTAATGCAACTTGCTTATATAAATACAACATTCAAATAACTTTACACTATTGTTTGTGAATTATTGTTTATTTACTGTATATTCCTTGTGCAGTCCATCTTTATCTGCAGTGTGATTGGTCAACTTGTCACGTGAGACCACGTGGCGTGGAAAGTTGAAATATTCATCTAAACACTTGTAAACAGTGATGTATTGGCCCTGTAATTTGAGAAAATCGAGTTTATAATTCAGAAACTTAATGTACAATATATATATCAAAGGAGTTTTATTATCTTATAGCAATATATGTACAAAAATCTAATTAGAATCGAAAATGATTTGCAAAATTGCGACGAGGTCTAATCATTAAAATATTTTTTTAGAATGAATTTTTAGATAAAAATTTAGCTGTAAGTAGATGTCATGACGCCTACTTCTCAGCCTCATTTCCTAATTTTTATCAAGTGTTGCTGTAAATATGTTTCTTTTTATTCCAGACATATATTTACGAATATGCTACAAACAATTAAAAATACCGATGTTTGGATCATATGCATTCTCTCTTTTCTCATAATGCTGACGTATTTAGTGACGTTTACACTTCCGGTCTTCAACCCATACTGTACCAGGGCATCTATAGCAATAAATGTGCCCGTTCTCCCGACGCCGGCACTATAAAACCAAAGTAAAATTACTGGAAAGTACCTCTACATCAGCTAACAATAGCAAAAAACAAAACAAAACAAAAAAAAAGAAAAAACAAAAAAAAAAAAAAAAAAATCAAAGTACTGAAAAAAGTGGCGTGTGTTGGCAATGGAAAGTATAATTATTGAATTTTTTAATCATAGTGATATTCCTGACATGAATTTGCTTGTAGAATAATTGAAACTATTTAAATGATACCTGCAGTGGACTATAATAGGTCTTTTCTGTTTCGCACTTGACATCTGCTCTCTTACTTTGAAGTAAAATGAAAGTAGCTGTGACGTCGACGGAACGCCATGATCTGGCCAACCAGTAAAGTGAAAGTGGGTCATAGTTCGAGGTACATCATTTTTGTCCTTAGAATGTGAAGAACACGTATTTTTAAAAATGATGCAGGAAAGAATAGATATCAATATCCATTGCATGAGTTTGTGTACAAATGTTTTTGATAAGATCATTCCTTTCATAAACGTTAGGGGATATGAAAATAAAAAAAATGTTTAACTTCACTATGTCATGTTGTAATTTCTTAGCAAAATGGAACAAAAACGATTTTAGTGAAACAATTAACAAGAATGTACATAAATTTTTATCCTCCTTGAACATTTGAATATTCATTATTCGATATATTTCTTATATACCTGAGTATTCCGAACTTCTAGATTTCTCACTGTATAACATGCATACACCGTCTCGTGCTTGTTGGTAACAGCTAATTTGCCATAGATGATTGTTCTTCCTTGGTTTGGCCAATACTGCTCACATTTTCTCTATAACAATTGTGTATAAAATTAAAACCACTTTGTCATTTACTTTTTAGTGTATCTTCATGTTTTACAACGAAAAAATAACTTTTTTCCCTCTGCATTATAGAATGTCAAATCAAAAGATATAAAATTTTAAACAACTGAACTAGAAAGTTATTAATGAATATAGATATAAAAATGCAATTTAATTTTACACAACTGAACCTCTAAAACATAGAAAGTTATTAACGAAATACACCCGCCGTCTGCTCCATGTGATTACCGGGGAATAATTGGAAAATGGTGTAAAAATGGCTTAACAATCTGTATGAAAAACTTCCCTCAGGATTTAATGACTCAGAGATAGATTTTATTATACGAAAAGATCTTTGTATCTACCGAGAAATAGTGACTTAAAACGAGACTGCTGATCTTCTCGTTTCATCTCTCTGTTTGTCAATAAACCATCCCCTTTAAAATGTTTGTACGGAAAACATGTTCAGATGTATTGAAATAACTAACAAATGTAAACGGCGTATGGAGTTCATAAAGTAATATTGCTTCACAGGGAAAGTTGGAGATAAAAAGTTAAATTCATTGCTTTATGTTATACCTCTACTGATTTTTTTCTAAATAAAGGAAATGCAGTAAAATTCGAATGATTCCCTACATATATGAGTGAATGGATTAATTACCTGTGGGTAAGTTAAATGAGCTAATCCCAGATTCGGAAGCTAATTCCCCGGTTCTCCGTAATCTTCTAGATTTTTCTTTTGTATAAGTCTAATATTTTAATGGACTTAATTCCGCGTGCGTTAATTTTGAAGATAATTCCCCGCCATTCGTAACCCTGTATTTTTATCCGTATAATAAAACAGTTAAAAAGTATATCATTGAGGGAGTTAGCAAGACTCAAGTTCCATGCCTCGGGAAATAGTCCTGGTCTTGTGAAACTGAAATCTTGTTAACTCCCTTAATGATATACTTCAACTGTATAATAAAATTCGATTGTTAGATTACCATTTACATTGAATTAAAATAGATGAATATGAAAGAGTTGTGTCAGACCAGTTAAAGTTTTATTCAAACTCAACAGGATATACATGTATCGTATCATTGAGCAGCCAATAAAATTCCTATAGAATTTTGGAAACCTTGGGCCCGTTTTACAAAAGAATTTACAACTAAGACCAAAAACCTCTGTTGATTGTAAAAAAAATGCAAAATAATCATTCAGTTTTAAAATTGCTATTCTAAAAATATCTTACTACATTCTTTAAAAATAATAAAATTATTTACAATATATGTTAATTTGAAGTTATGTAAAAATGAATTTTGGACTAAAGTCGGAAGTATTTTGGTGAAACTGGCCCCTGGTCTCCTAAAAAAACCAAGATAAATATTGTCAATCTAAAACTTAAGCAGTTTATAATGATTAATTTTAATTTAATACCTTTTGTCCCTCAATGATGCCGGTAAGCATTACAACGGTGGTCACCTTCTCATGCCAGATCATACGCCATAGATCCTTAACTGTAGTTGCTTTTGGACCTACAAATCATGTATATCGATAGTTTCGATATGCCTGAATTTAGCGAAAGTTACTTCCCTTTGGTCGCCATATGAAAGGTCGACTCGGTGATTTTCCCTCTTTTGTCTTACCATGTTTAAGAAGTTGTAGCAGATATATTTGGTGGAAAATTTTTCATAGATATATTTTTTTAGGTAAAGGAGGCTTCCAAAAATTTATATACTTCATAAAAATAATGATTTCCAATTTAAATAGGAAATGTAAAAATTTTAAACTGGTTGAACAATGAAGGAATGCAAGCATTTGGACCTTCAGTATGGTGGCCAACGGAAAATAATTCTCGCTAATTTCTGGTCTATCGAAAACTATCTATATATAGCTAAATCAAATCCTTATTATGAGACATAATCATATCCATATCCTTTTAATTTAAATCATTCCTCAATATTACTTATTATTTTAAGATGAGGAAAATATATTTTATTTATTTGATGCAAAACGATTAACAAAATAATATTAAGACTTGTTATTTAAAGATACTTGAAAAACAGAAATGTTTACTTGAATTTTATTTTTATTTAATTGTTGTAAACAAAGCAATTAAATTCAACAGGAAAAATCGTGAATGAATTCATATATAGAAATACCGAAATCCTAGATTTTTTGCACTGCAGAACATTTCAGTGAAGATTTTTCATAAAAGTGTTTATTTTAAAACTAAATTGAATTCTACCTTGACATGCTATGTATTCTTTCTCTCTGAGCATACTCTACAAAAAATCAAATATATCTGCATCAGTCATCGTTGACTAAAAACATATTATATATAATTCAGCACATTAAAAAAAATAAAAGATATGAAAACCATAATAAATTGTCGCATTTAAGTCTTATAGAAACAATTAATGTTGTTAAGCATTAAATAAAGAGAAAACAGAGCATATTCAAGCTCCAAGTCCAAAGAAACAAATGAATACAGTTCAGAGACAGAGCAAGCCCGGAAACCCCGAAACCTTCAGGTAACATTGAGGAACGAGTATCCCCCAAGTTTTACTACCAGGTAAGCGAACATATGATAAAATATGATAATAAGTTAAAAAAATTAATAAATAACATTACGGCAATTTGTTTTCTTTTCAGAAATACGTGTAGATGTATACAGGGAAAACAGTTTTAATGGATTTATAATTGATTTATAAGCAATATAAGTAAAAATAACAGTATATACATGTGCGCCGTGTATCTTATATCAGAAAGGGTGTCTTATGATACAATGTGATAAAAATATCTCATTTTTTAAATCTTGTGTTGGCTTTGTTTTCTTTGTAACAGTTAGCGTCAAATAGTTTGTAGTGATACTTATCAAAAGTAGAAAAAAAATGTAGATATGAAAATTTAATTACATATAGAATTGAGATATTCAACTTACAGGAATGAAGTTAGCGTTGATGTAATCTTCGCCATAGGGATCCGTTAAAATTACCCTTGAGTGATCGTCTGCATGTGTTAAAAGTATTTTTCAATATATGTAAAAATAAATTGAACAATTGACATTTAAAGTAATTTTTGTCCAAAAAGTTTTTTTCTTTTCTAAGCTCATTTTCTGTTTTCCTTGATTCTGAAGACAATACCCTTCAATTAAATTATTATTTGTCCACTTTTAAATTATGTATTTGAAAAAAAAAAATGGAAACATTGTATTTTAAACTAAATATTCATCCTTTTTCTTAACATGTTTTTCTGTTAAAAGATATACATCAAATACATACAAGGTAGTGTGTTTTTAAATCTATTTTTCAAAATATTTTTCTCCAATGTTCCCACACTGCAACGGTTTATATCTCCCTCTGGTAAAGCCTTTAATAAAACAAGAAAATGTTATATAATTTTAAGTTTACTGCAAATTCTATATTTTGATAAATACGAGATAGGGACAGAACAAGTGGTAAATAAAAACATTTTCACATTAATATATCTGATTTCGCTTTCTGAATAATAGAGTTCTAAAGTACATGATAAACCACACATGAGGATTCCGATTGTCATTTTTAAGATGTTTCTAAATCAAATGCGTAACACATCTTTAAAAAATTATTCTGCGTAAAAAGATATTTAAAACAATGGGTTTTTGTTGATAACTTAATCTAAGATCAGTAATGTCTAAATTCATGGCTTTGAGACATTGGATATGCAAATAGTTCAATTAAACCACTGTTTTATTTAGACCTCCTGGGCGTGACTTCCATGGAATGTACGATAAATTTTCTACTAATGGATAACATTTTACAGTGTTGAATTCTACACGTTTTTATTAACTTCTTTTCATAAACAACTTCAAACGATGTCCTGTTATTAATCCTCTCTGTTGTTAATTTATACAATATAAGTGTGCCGGGATTAAAATTATTTCCCTACTCTTGTTTGACAAATTATTTTTATATGACAAGTTAAAAAAATATTCCCGAGCACAAATATATTTTTTATTTCATAATCTTCACTTAAAAATGAATTTATTGCACATAACTTAAAAGCATCTTTTGATCTTCATTCCGGATTAGAATTTCATAAGAACTACAAACAACATTAAATTTAATTTTAATACTTTATTTACGCATCGTTAACGCCCATTTAGATAAAAGGAGACGATCCTTGGAACAGATAAAAGAAAGCAATAAAAACATACTTTAAATTCAGCCTTAAAGCCTTCGTCTGTATTTTCATGCTTCCTTAATATGTAATCGTGCAGCTCTTTCACGGGAATGTCCCCTAAATTTTCACTTATCAGCTCGATTTCTTGTAGGTCATCTCCTGTTTCTATCTCGCTTTCGGTTTCTTCTTGCTCCGATTCTTCTTGCTGCTCTGAGTTTACGACGTAACTTACATTGTAATAAACGTTTGCCTGATCCCCTGAAACATAGCATTAAATGATTGTACATGTATCTATATTTATGTCTTTTTTTATGAGTAATACACACTATTTGAACATTTTTTAACAGTAAATATATAATGAATTGATTCAACAATGATTTTACGTCGCATAAATGGATAATTTCTTATCGATAGTAATGATAAGCAACTTTATATATCAAATATGATATATTTTATAGTCACTTTATGAAAGTAAAAAGTAGTATCATTTTGATTACGTTGTTGTTTATCACTACACTGATATAGAAATCATTGTGGCACTTGTTAGTCACGGTTAGATTTGAGTTATATATCTTAATTTGATTTATTCTTATAATAGACACTTATGTTGATTTTTTTTTTGTATTTATAAATATTCGTTTTTGTTTTGTAGTCGTTATTTGCAAAGTGTGCCTTGTCTTAAACCGATGATAAATATTTTTAAAATATATTTTGTCTTCGTAAAATGTTGCTTACATGTAAAACACACGATAAACTGTCACTTTTGTTCACTATAAATGCTAAAAGGTTAACAAACTAGAAGTTGCTGTTAATGTCAAGATATATTCTACGGAAATGTTACATTCAAGTGATATGTTTCCTTTACAATATTTCAATTTTAGAAAAAGGAAAGTAAACCATCATGAGTAATTATATTTCACTTCCTTGATAATATATCTGATAACTTTAAGTGACGAGTCTTTTGCGTTGTACCTTTTCCATCCTGGTCAATTTGATCTAAGTAATAATTAACTTTTCTTTCTGATGTCGGGGTGATCTGTGCCTGTAGTCCAATAGCATCTTCTGTCTTCGTGTCGAGTCTTCTTTTCCTTAAAAAATACATTTATAATTTAAAGAAAATGTGTGTAAACGTGTAGTGTACTAGCTAAGACATGTACGAAAATGAAAATTAAAAAGAAGGCTACTTAGGATATATAAATCAAATAGTTAAAACAAATTTAAATACAGATCCTATTATACTAGGAGTTATATAGAAGAATTGTAAAACTAGTCATTGTGGTAGTAAAAGCCCGTGATTCGCCGATAAAGAAAGGTTTCATTAACAAATAATAAAACCTAAGGGTGAATGCGCATTTTTTTCCTTCCTTCTTAAATGCTTTTGATTCATTTTTCCTGTTCTTATTGACATACAAATTTGAAAAGTGGAAGATCATAAAAATTGTACTTATATTTTTCATAAATTTGATGAAAAAAATCAAAACTATGAAATTTTATAAAAAAAATGTAAATGCTATACATTTGTTATATTACCGTCTTACAATCAGGCAGATGATAAAGAGTACTAATAATATCAGGACCAGGGCCCCGACCGCCACACCAATCATCAGGAAAGGCGCTTCCTCAGATACAACTATAAAGACACGATTTAGTTTAAAGGTTTATAAATTTTGCTAAGATTCCGGTCTATTCTTTTCCTCTCATTCAAATATACAAAATATTTACACAAATTCCTTACACGTACACATGCACTCTAAAACCGAACTGTTAATAAATCAATGCTCAGGTTTAACTACCCTTCAGTGACTATTCATAGGAAATATATACATTTTACCTGCACCAGCATTATTCACTACCACTTCAGTTTCACAGAAATCCCCTGATCTACCAGCAACACAACCATCACATCGACCGGAAGTGGGATAACAGAGTCCAACCCTGCAGAATTCACTACATGTCATATTACATTCTTGTCCATAGAAACCTTGGTCACATTCTGGAGAAGAACAGTACATAAAATAAATGGCTGAAAGGGATATCCCATCACCCGAATCCTCCTTACAGCCAAAATATATCCTATTATTATTTTTGTGTTCTTCATTAGCAGTAACTAAGGTATGGTACGTTGAAGAGGATAAAACTTACACGTATTTTCTATATTCAGAAATAATAAATCCTTACAATGATACACGAAGAAGGTTCACATCTCATTAAAAACCAATTTCAGTATTTAACATTTGCAGTTTTGATATGTTTCTTTAAGATTCATTCCAGATAAAAAAGATAGAACTCATTTATTTATTAAAGGATTTTTTTTTCATAAAATCGACTATATACAGAAAATTTGGACAATCATAAAGAATCATGTATCTATTTATGAAAGCACGAAAATGCAAAATATTTAGTATTAAACGTTTCTTTCTTGTTATTTTTTCATGATAAGCTAGAATTAACTAGAATTGATTAATACGTAGTGATAAGAGAAATATGCGTGAATATTTGTATTTTCATGTCGTATTGATATTTCATTACATTTGTGCTAATATTGATTTTATTTTCTACGGTGTCATATTACACGTACTTAAGACATTATTTGTTTAAAAATGTATATATTAAAGAAAAAGTAAATGTTGAGTTGCAAAGGAAATGTGCCAGGAAAAGGTGCCTTAGGATAAAAAGTAAGTGAATCAATACTCAGCAAAGTAAGAATTTGAACCTAATGTCAGTGTTGTTGTTATGAGAACAGTTTCACAAAACGGTCCATCACGTGATTCAGGACACATTAGGCAATGACCATTTGTTTGGTTACATTGAAGATTATTACAATGAGGGTTGCAAGTTAAGTTACAGTATAGACCATAATACGTCTCTGCACAAACTGTAATAGAAGTTTAAAATGTACATCTTTTTTAAAAAAATCATTATTTTGTGTCAATTACCGGCATGCTATAGAGTTACAGGACAATATAATAGGTTCCCATTACTGTCTTGGCAAAATGAATAATCGTTAAGTTATGCACGAAAATGTTCAAACATCAGAAAATATTCTGAAAATTTGTCAAATAAAATGTTTGATTTATTTTATAGGAAATAGAGCATTATGGTTTTTTCTCCAAGATTAAAGATTGAAATTAACCTACCATTACATGTCCTCCCAGCCCAACCCTTAACACAGCCATCCAAACACTCCCCTGTTATAGCGTCACATGAGGTACTGTTTTTACAATTTGGAATGTAGCAAGAAGTATTACAGTTCTGACCAAAGTATCCATACTGACATTCTACAAAGAATGAGGAGTACCACAAATTAAATATGAGAAAAAAATGAGGGACATGGATCGCTGGATAATTGTTAATTATAAACTATCTAAATTTGATGACTCTAGTTCACGGAACTTAAAATCAATTTAGGGAACATGAGCTTAGAATCGATCCGTACATCGCTGGTTCGAACAGACTGTTCTGAGAAGGGGACCCCGGCATTGAATGAAATAGTACAAACTGAGGTCCTGTGTCACAGATAGTGCAAGCACAAAGAATGCCCACTGCTCTAAAACCCAAGTGCTGAAATATGGACGATTTGCAACGCTCCATCGCAAGCGTTGACCATTCATTATGAGTGAACATTTCCGAAATGGACGTTGAACAAACTACATACGAGCACATGTACATGCACTAAGGAAATGAATGCATCTACAATCAATGCATTCGTGAGAATGAATATGTAGTCAAGTATATGTAAAGCATGAAGAGAGAATCTGTAGAATACTAGAGCAAATGAATGTCAATGCAGTTTAAAGTTAATACAGTAGACATGTTTCTTTTTTTCGCACCACCTAGCTTTGGAAATTTTTAACCTACTTTTTTGCTTTCGCCTAAACTCATATTTAAGATGATCATGATGATATTGTCATTGAAACAATATAATGCATGCATACAACTTCGAAAGAAAGTAAATTCATTACTATATGAAAGTTTAATACATAAATCATAAACCTACTTTGATCACATTTATCTCCCCTCCATCCAGGAGAACAATCTCCAGGGCAGGATCCATTCACGTGGTTACACTGTTTATTACTGATACACTGTCCACATGAGACAGAACATCCTTGTCCATATTTACCAGCTTGGCACTCTGAATAATATATATGACGAAAATTAATGCATTGAAGAACGGCAGATATTCTTCCAACGTATTTAATTCAGTTTCTTTGTTTATTCATGAAGTGTCATCATATCTTGATATTTAAAGTCTTAAAAACTTTTTTGTCTAGTATATCTTTACCTTATACACACATTGCTTAGTTAAAAATTAAATTAAAAAATGGGGTCAATATGCTTCTTTAAACGCTACAGTACATTTAAAATGAACTCTCTGCACTGACATTTGTGATTTAATAAAGAATTACACGTTTGGAATTTTTAAATCGAATATTTTAATCCAAATAAAGAAATAATAAAATAAACTATGAGTCTATTTTAAAAAAAAGACGTATATAATGAAAATTTGTGGGTATATGTTCAAAACGTTTCAAGGACAATGGTTTTTCTTTAAGAAGTTTAAAAAAAGATAATTTTTATTTATATTTTGTGTTGTTCGAAGTTATATTTTCTTTAGAAAATAATTTAACTTGTAGTAATTAAAATTCTTTAACTCGCGAAATTAAGTTATTGATTCATTCACGATACTTTCTTGATCAGTCAAGAAAATCAACTGGTGATGATTGTTTTTAAACTGTTGGCATACATTAATTTTGCTTAATTTAAAAAAAAAATAATCATCTTGGGTGACATCTTATAACACTAAATAGCGTTGTAGATTGTAACGTCAATATGTGGTGCAAAGGTTTTCCCAATACACTCCATAAACAGTTCACGCACTGTTTGCCACAATAATTACACATCGGAAATTGTCTGCAATCTGACATTTTATTTTGTTTAAAAAAGTTTACCAATGGGATTTAGTAGACATAGAAATTCTGACTGCATAACATCTCTTTGAAAAGGGCAGGAACGGACGTCTGGAAATTCCAGATATGGGAACGAATGCCTAGGACAAGTAAGCATCCTTTTTTGACCATCGCAACGGACGTGGTCTCTAAGTATTGAAAGGGTAGATAAAATGTTCTCATAACATTAGCATGAAAACAAAGGCATATAGACTGGATAAAAAAAAAAAACTTTTGGCAAAATACGTATAGGAGTATAATTCTAACAAGGTAATTATAACTACCATCGAATTCATGGAATTTCTCCTTCACATGAGTATTCATTACTTTTGAATAACGTTCTAAAATAGTTCATCTTTTCAGTTGAAAAGTTGAAATACTCTTATTTCTTTTCAGTAAAACGTCGAAATATGAAATAGATGTAGCAGATTATATGGAATCTAGTTCGAGTTCATTAGGGATATATGGAGTCGTCATTAAATGAGTATTTACATAACCATTACTAACAGATAAAACGTTGTAAGTAGACCAAAATGGATTAAATAAATGTTACAGACGACAAGTGCTATTTTGTCATTTCTTTATTTCATTTTTTTTTCATCAAGTAATGTAATGCATGCATATCCAAAGTCGAATTCTTCAAGCAAAAATATGTCAACATTCTAAGCAATACCGTTTAATTCATTTTCATATCTACAAGCTATAGTCAAGAGCATGGTTGTAAATACTTGTTTGTTGCTATCCGAGGCAAGCATAATAAAAACAAAACTAATTCACAATTCTGCACCTGCAATATATAGTTTCAATAAAAAAAAAAGAACAAACGAGAAAAAAGTCTTGAAAGAAATATAAGTGAAGAGGTATTAGAATACTTCTACCTAGTAAAGCTTAATACACAGATACCTTTTTCACAATACTGTCCAGTGTATCCCTCGATACACTCAAAACATTCTCCAATCTGAAAGTGACACGTGTTATTTAAACAGTTCTTAGGACACCTCGTGCAGTTTTCCCCGTAAAATCCCAGGTCACATCCTACAAATATTGGAACAAAAGAAGAACTACTAACCGATCTTTAAGTAAAACAATGAGGAAAAAATAACAAAATGTGATGTGGTTGCACCTAATGCAAGTTCAGAGTGGATTCATATTGCAAGGAATGTAGCAAATAACGTGCCAACGATGAAAACGGCTTCTCATAAAGAAAGACATGTTTTTAGTTCAAAAGAATTAGAATAAAATTTCAGAACACTAGATTATTACTCATTCAAAAAAAATTATCATATTTCACATTAACTTCTTGTCCCGATTCCTAAAAATTACAGTAAAACATTACAGTACATTAAAATTACAGTTCGAGAACGGATATTGCGAATTCACAGATATAGCGAAGGCATCTTTGATCCCCAGCTATGTAAATTTGATTTTATACGGATATACCAAAAAATGTTATAACCGAGTTTTGCTGTAAAGACGAGTGTGCTAACGGAATGTACATGTTTAAAAATACTAAATAATATCTGAATTTAAAATTTAAGGAAAGTGGGAGTTTGACGCAACTAACACATATAATGCCGTTGTCTATATAGAAGTTTATTGAGTAACATCCTTTATCATCTTGTCAACATTATTGAAACCTGGCTCTGTACCCTGTAGATGAATCATATGAAAAACAGGTGTGTTTGGGTTTTCGGGGCCTTTAGCAAACAGGCAAGCAAAGAAATGTATCTGTTGTATCAGAAATGGTGATTGGTATGAAGAAAGATTTTTAAAAGTAAAATCCATATCCAAAATTGGGGATAATAATATTGTTTTAATTTTGGGGATAATTAATATATTGTTCCATGACGTCATGAGACATAGACAATCAAGAAAGCTTTTCTCATGAATTGTGCAATAATCTGAGTTCAAGTAATATTAAATGCATTTTCAGCTTGTGGAAATTTACGTACTGTATTTAGAATTACAAAGATTCAATTAGATTTAAATGAACATCACATTCTTCCATCCTATATGAATGCAAGCCAATACTAAATACGAATTAGTGTATATTTATTGAATAAAATAATACACCTTAAATTTAAAAAGCATTCGAATCGTGATTTAATGTTAATTTTTAGTAAATTCAAGTTTTTGAAGAAAAAAGGAAAAAATAGCTTTCGATTCATATTATCCTGAAGCCTAATTACAGCCAGTTACACTTAAACAAAAACAAAGATAAAGAGAAAAGAAGGGTGATAGCTGATAGCAGATAACATTTCTGTGTATATCCATTAACCAAATAAAGAAAACAGTTACCTTTTACCTCGACTTCACATATATTTATATACGAAAATTCGGATACATTAGGAAATGATGTTATATTTCTTCTATTGTAAACAGTGACGTAGCGACCGGAAGTGACACAGTCTAATGTGAAGTTATTTTGTGGAATTTGTTGTATGTCGTGTTGATAACATAGGGTTCCTGACCGCCAGTCTTCTGTGTCAGAGATATACACGGAAAATCCAGAGAGTGTGTTGCCTTCTGGAGAGAAATTAAAGAAATATGAATAATTATACCTTATGGTGATTTGTTTAGAGAAAAGTCTGGCTAGTCCATGTATTTATATGATTTTATTAAAAATATATCTCCACATTCCTACAATACATACAATTTTATATTTTAAGTGTCGGCAAAATTAAGTGATCAACATTAGAAGAAACAATAAATATTGCATCTTATGATGATGATTTGTCTCAAGAATAGTTTTAGCTACGGTACATGTCTAAATGATAAGATCAGAGAAACATTTGCACGCATATTATTGTAGAGATATCGAATTTCGATATTTTGAAGTTAATGCCTTTAATTAAATTACATTTGTTTTATTGGTCCCAACCTGTGATTTTGCAATAATCATTGAACTAGTCAGATGTTCCTCAGAGTGTATATATTGTAAAGTTTTACAAAGTACATTAAGTTGATTTTGCTTATGGAGTGTTATTAACTTTTCTTACAGTTAGTATTATACTGCATTAGTAGTTTCGTCATTATGTTAATAAATGACCTTTTTCAATTCAAATTGTGTTTATCTCTTTGCTGTTAATCAAACGAAGCTAATAGTTTTGCTTGGGCGAGATGACAAAAAATTACATTTCAACAATTACACAAACAACCTTACTTTGACATTTAACAGCTACAGCTGATCCTGATGGACAGTCAGTTGATCCCTTTGGACATGTTTGTATGTTAACTTCATTGCCTGCACAGTTCAAGACGTTATAAAATGGAGGTTGATCTGCTGAGAAATCTCCAGCTATGCTATAAGATGTATTATCTCTAGAAAAGAAAAAAAATCAATGGATAGAGAACTAGAAATATAAATATATGCGCAAGATCTTATTAATAAGTGACATGCAAAGCAACTTAAAAACTATTTTAAGGGGGCATTTAGGGGTTATATTATTTCGTTAACTCTGTTTTGTATTTTGCTTTGCGGATTAATAAGCATGAACTGACCCAAATCAGTTTATTCTCGAATACTTTGGTCAAATATTAGTGCCATTCCTTAATTTAAGGACACAACGGGTTTTGTTTTTCATAATACCTCTTTTCACAAAGATTTGAAATGTAAGCATGTAAATGACCATGTTAAATTGCTGGAAATAAATTTAATATTTGAAATAAAAATAAATGTGCAGGTACATGTTGAAAAACAAAACAATCAGGATATGGTTCCCTTTCAAATGATAATCATATGCTTACGGTAGAAATCCCCAAGCCAAGCAAACGACCTGGGCATCTTTTTCATCAAAACTACTCGAACAAATCCTTCTTAATGGATTAGCAACAAACACTGCCCCGTCTCCATTGGAATCAGCAAAGATACCAGAGTCAGATGATCTCATTGAGGATGCATTGAGACCTACTGTAAGTGACAGTTGTATTTTTCAATGAATATTACAGATTTTAGACTATTTTGGAGGATTTTTTCCCTAAACAATTTACAAAATAGGAAAAGTTAAATTTCTGTACAATAAAAAAATTAACCTAAATTTAATCGAGGCAAATAAATATCAGACTTTCATAGATTGTTTGATACTATGAATGATACTTTCTTTTATATGGATGCAAAGTTTGCAATTCAACGAATAAAAAATGTTCATATAACATCGACCAATGTATTAAGTTTAATATATGAAAT